ATGTGCAAGTTTCGGCTGCAAGTTTATGTCGAAGAGTGCGTTTATGTTCAGTGGATTTTTTTTTATTAAACGCGGCTCTTTTCCGCGTCGTGCCTGACTGTCGCCATATCTTTGGCAAGAGTATCGATACTGATTTCTGTCCGGGTATTTACAAGATATTCGGATTTTCGCTGAGTTAAACAAGGTGGAAGAGAAGAAGAAGAAGAAAAAGATTGTCTGCAATTGTTATGCAGTAAGACCCCGCGTGCTAAGGCGGGCTTTGTACGTAAACGCTGGATCGAGTCATTACAAAACTCCACTATGCGTAGTTGCCTTCATCTTTGTACCAGGGTAAGCAGGTGGTGTTGGCAATGAAAGAGCCGATAGATTAGCCGGCTCTGCTTTAGTTACAGAGGGCTGGGCCGGCCCATGGATCATGCAGACATTGTTAATGCCATTAGAGAGATAGGACGTTCGGAGGAATTTAGAAGCAGCACTTTCAAATCTTTGCTAAGAGTGCAAGAATTAGGAGTAAAGATCGGCACAGCCAGGCACGAGAAGCACACCAGATGCACGAGAAGTCTTGTCAACCAACAAAGGACTGGGACTATCAACCACGGGACGCTGACGTAAATGTTGAGGGGAGAATCTGAGCACACATGGACGTATCCGGAGTGCTGTGAACATGAACCAAATCAAGAATCGTTTCTGCTGTTTCATATCATAGACTTTCACCATTTGATGAAGGTTTGGGGTCACTAAATTTTTGTTTTTTTGTTGTTGTTGTTGTTGTTGTTGTTGTTGTTGTTGTTGTTGACAGCCAACGTTCTTAAGCGCTCTGGTGTTGGTGATCATTTGTTTTCTAATATGTTTGATAATGTTATCATTTAATTAGTTTTATAACTAAATATGCAAACACACTTGTTAGCTAGGGTTCTGTCCGGGTGACACATCACAAGTACTTCTTGCGTTTTTGGCCACACGGTACAAAATCTTGGATTTTCGCCTTGATAATCCTTTCTGTGGCTTAGGCGTTGCGAACGCGCTTCGTAATGCCGGGATGCCAGGTTCGATCCCAGGTGTAGGCCTTGCTACTTGCGTTGGTTTCGACAGTAGTATCGAGAAGCCGACCGTCCAGAAAGCAAGGGCAAACTACTTGACGTAAACTTGCCTAGGTAAACCACAACAGCCAAAAAATGCTGGGGTTGATCTGCATCGTCCTGTAAAGGGACGCTACTAACATATAATCCTTTCAGCTCCCACCTCTTCTTCCCCAAAAAACAATACTCAAATTTTCAGTTTCTTCCATTCGCTGCTAGTGAAGGTGTTAACGCTCTTGCGTTGTAAGCTAAGTCGCAAGATCGGCATCTGCCAGGCGTTCGGTTTCCAAGGCAGCTTTCTAGTACTTAAAAATTGTTTTCGGATTACAAGGTGTTTGAGTTTTAAGACGTTCGAATTCCGAGGTACTACGATACTACGATAGACATGATCTTTCCCGCCAGTCGGCAAGACACTTGATGTTGATGTTATTTTTAGAAATTAGAGGGGAAAAAATCTATTAACCTATACATCATAGAAGAAAATGTAGGTTGTATTTCGACAATTGTGACGAACTATTCACGAAGGCGGTAAATTCGTCCAGACGAAAAGGAACACATTAGTAACATAAGTAGACATCGTATTGAACGAAGGAACGCTTGACTAACAGATATTCGTAAAGTGCTTAGTGTTTCATTCCATTCTTGCCTGATAAATCCAGCTTGGATTTCTTAAGCATATCCATCGAGTAACTAAGAAAGCATACGTGTGTAAACTTTTGAGTACCAAGCCATTGTAAAACCCTTGTTACAGCCATAGTTTCCACTGTAAGGCTATGTATGAATGAATGAATAAATGAATAAATAAATAAATGAGTGCACGAATGAATGAATGAAGGAATGAATGAGTCCAGAATTGCCATTAATTTAGTCAGGACATTTCCACGTGTACCAGAGACTCAAAGATCGCCCGACTGACCCGCCTATCTATCTATCTATCTATCTATCTATCTATCTATCTATCTATCTATCTATCTATCTATCTATCTATCTATCTATCTATCTATCTATCTATCTATCTATCTATCTATCTATCTATCTATCTATCTATCTATCTATCTATCTATCTATCTATCTATCTATCTATCTATCTATCTATCTATCTATCTATCTATCTATCTATCTATCTATCTATCTATCTATCTATCTATCTATCTATCTATCTATCTATCTATCTATCTATCTATCTATCTATCTATCTATCTATCTATCTATCTATCTATCTATCTATCTATCTATCTATCTATCTATCTATCTATCTATCTATCTATCTATCTATCTATCTATCTATCTATCTATCTGTCTGTCTGTCTGTCTGTCTGTCTGTCTGTCTGTCTGTCTGTCTGTCTGTCTGTCTGTCTGTCTGTCTGTCTGTCTGTCTGTCTGTCTGTCTGTCTGTCTGTCTGTCTGTCTGTCTGTCTGTCTGTCTGCCTGCCTGCCTGCCTGCCTGCCTGCCTGCCTGCCTGCCTGCCTGCCTGCCTGCCTGCCTGCCTGCCTGCCTGCCTGCCTGCCTGCCTGCCTGCCTGCCTGCCTGCCTGCCTGCCTGCCTGCCGGCCGGCCGGCCGGCCGGCCGGTCGGTCGTGTGTCGGTCGGTATGTGTGTGTGTGTGTGTGTGTGTGGGTGGATATGTGGGTGGATGGGTGGGTAGGTAGGTAGGTAGGTAGGTAGGTAGGTAGGTAGGTATGTATGTATGTATGTGTGTATGTGTGTATGTGTGTGTATGTATGTGTGTATGTATGTGTGTATGTATGTGTGTGTGCATGTTCGTATGTATGTGGATGTATGTGTGTACTTAGTGCTTATATGTTTGTGTGTAAGTGAGTCATTGGGCTTGTGTGTGTATGTGGGTGTGTGTGTTCGCGCGTGAGCGTGCGTACATATTCTACCAGCCATGCTTCATATATATAATATGCATATTATTACATGAATATAACATGCTTCATTGATGAAATACAACTGCTGTGTGAAAGATGGAAGTTTGGAAGGGCCGAATGTAAGACAGGCCTGCGTGCCTAATTTGTAACCCTTTGAAAATAAAGTTCGTTCGTTCGTTCGCTTGTTCGTTCTATCTCTCTATCTCTCTATCTCTCTATCTCGCTGTCTGTCTGTCTGTCTGTCTGTCTGTCTGTCTGTCTGTCTGTCTGTCTGTCTGTCTGTCTGTCTGTCTGTCTGTCTGTCTGTCTGTCTGTCTGTCTGTCTGTCTGTCTGTCTGTCTGTCTGTCTCTCTGTCTGCCTGTCTGTCTGTCTGTCTGTATATCTTTTTTATTTGTCTATATACATACGTGTCTCTCTGCTGCTGTCAATACTGATAAATGCCCCAATGCCCCCCCCCCCACCCGACAATGTTCCTGCCCCTCTCCAACCATCCATCCAATAACTCTATCATGACAATATCTTCACCCCCAAATCACAACACACCCAGCTATTCTCTCATCATTCTTCTAGAAGCCTCTCCCATATCGAAACCCGGACTCAATTTTCCGTACTCGAATACGCCATCCAAAATTCAGCAGCCAAATTAAGTCCAAGAAACGTATAGCGGGGACCATCTGCATAGACACAAATTGGCAAAAATTGCACACATCTGGCCATCATTTCTGACATTTCATTCCCAAATTGAAATATTATTTTCCAGTCGGACCCCTAGTTTGGAAATCTGGGAAAGGGATGTTGCATTCCCAATGAAGTGGGATTGTTCTGTCTTTTTGTGAAGTTTCAGCATTTGTATTTTGAACGTACGTTTGTCGTCTGTTTTGATGCTGTGGTTTTTGTTCACTGTTTTGTCTTCTTTTTGTAGTTTAAATTCAACTGAGCATCAATGAGTTGAGTTGTTGAGTCAAGAATTGACTTCACAGCATTCAGGGCATTTCTATGCATGCTCCGTCCCCATCTTCAGCAGCCAGCGCAGTGCTCCAATACTGATGGTACCGGTAAAAATCAGGTTAAAAGCCGGATTCGCCTTTCCTGTGAGTGTAGTGAACCGGCCAGACCCTCTGGTTACACCCAGATGCTTCATTCTCTCCAGGCCATAATAACCTTATTTCTCTGCTGATTTCATTGCTTGTTCCCAAAGGGCCTTGACAACATCTGCCTTGTCATGTATCAGTTCACCACCCAGTGGTGCAGATCCAGCCAATCTGTCTGCCTGTTCATTGCCCACTACGCCGGCATAGCCTGGAGAAAAGATCCAAAGTATACCCACCACCCGTGACCTTTCCAGTGAAGCTAGCCACTCTGCTCGAAGCATCCCTGTCCTCAGCTTTTTCATCATGCTTTCAGAGTCTGTTACAATTATGACATGTGTATGCATATTGTTCTCTAGCCGTCAGAGAGCAGTAGTTACCGCCTCCACCTCCAATCTCATGCTAGATGTTGTGGTGTCATATGCTAGGCTGTCTTGCACTAAAGATTTAAAATGGCCTTTCGCTACGAACTCCCAGACATTTCTCTTTCCTCTTAACTCTGGCCCATCTGTATAGATAATCAGATCAACTTGACGTGAATTTGTCTTGAATGAACTGTTGGACTTCAACTTCCGTTGAAGCATCTATGTGTCGACAAACGGATTCAACTGGGGATGACGGCCTGGGTGATTTTCAACGTCCAGGGACAACAGGCGTCATTAGAATAATCAGGTCTCGACTAAACTATCAGATGGGGCTTTTCGCTGGGTACTGGGGATCCAGGCTAGACAACACGGGGTAATGCAGTTAATGCAGCGATGTCAGTTAAAGATTAAATAATTTATGTACTAATAAATTAAAACTTCGAGTTAATGTTCAAGCAGTTTTTTCGTTGTTGTTTTTTTAAGCAACTGTTTATTTGTCGTACGCTTATCACTATCACATTCCCCCCCCCCCCCCCCCCCTTTTCCACTCAATTTTATCAATTATAAAATATTAACAATTTTGTTTTTCTCCACAGGTATTCAGCCTTTTCGCCAACTTCTTCATTCTGCTCAGTTACCCTTTGAACTTTTTCATTTACTGCGGGATGAGCAAGCAGTTCCGGGAAACGTTCAAACGTCTGTTCACCGGGGCAGCCATGCCAGTAGAACGTGAATACTCTCAATACATGACGCTACCAACAGAAAACGGCAAGAGTACAGCTGTTACTGGCGATGAAACAGCTTTATGACGTCATTGATTTCTGTGTAATTTAATTATTAACATATGCATATACTTGCATTATTACATTGGGACTGTGAAGGCATAATTTTCCCTGTTTAATTATAATAAAACGTTAAGTGTGTGTGTAAACAGTGAAAAACGGTGGTTTTCTGATGCTAACCTGATTGCGTGACCTGAACACTTCTGTGAAGTTTCTTTGAAGTTCGAGGTAGAAAACATAAGTAAGAAATTCTTGTGGGAACAGTCAGTAGAGATACCTTAGAATGTCTGCTGTTTTAGAGAACCAAGCGCCCACTGGGATTGTCCAATCTGCAGTGAGTCAGTGTTGATAACATATAAGAATACATTGTGTATAAGGGTGGAATTCAATACAAATTTATTTCTAACACTGTGCTTACGAAGGACCTTTAAAGAATTTGATTTTTAGACCGACAGACGGTGTAGAATGCAGAAGAAGAAAAGTTTAAGAAAGAAAACTAACGTTACGTCATGTATATTATCATCGCTGCTTTGCGAAGAAACTCTGATAACATGAGGCTCTTTGTTTGAAGTAAACGTCACCGTCTGCACACACGATAATGTTTAGATTAATGAATGTCTTGTCCGGAATAAAACCGACTGGATTCTGATAGCCCTCCACCTGACCGAGGTGCTAGTTAAGCGACACAGGGAACACACAGCTGCAGTCAGAGTCCAACTGTGTGTGACAGCGAGCAACGTGTATGTTTATTTAAATCATCCGAGATTTCTGGTGTTGCTTCGGGGGGAAAAATAGACCCCCTACTCCTGGCCAAGTATGCCGTAAGAGACGACTAATTATTTTTACTGCTGAAAACAGATGTGTTAAGCCAGAAAAGCCTAAATATCAGTCTTGTTATAAACTACGACGGAGTGTGCCGAACACTTTTGAAAGAAGGGAGGGAAACGAACAAACACATGTTTCTGACAACAAGAAAAGTGAATGTTATAGCAGTATTGTTCATATAACACTCCTTATGATCAGTTATAGGAAATCTGCTTGGAAAATGTAGACTCTCTGAATCAACTGCAGGATTCGTAGTGTACCTAGGATTTGAAGTGCAGACAAGTACTGGTGAATCCACATGTCTTTAAAACATCTTAATGGTTTACTGTGTTTGGTTCGGGTTTAGGGAAACACATAAAGGCACTACATTGTAAAACCGTTACATGTGCCCCAATTATCACTTCTTTGCAGTTTACAGGAGTATTCAGGGTGTGTCTGCTAGCTGCCATTGGGATTAGGATTTTTTTTTTTTTCGAATAGTTGCTGCGAGGGGAGAAGACAAATATGGATAATCTTGATAATCTTAGTTTCAGCTTCATAGCAAACGAGTCATCCCATAGTTGTTCCGCTCCTGTGCCAACGAAAAAATACACAGAACGTTCGTCGTGGTACCTTGTGGAAAGATTGACAGACTGCTGTCTCAGCATATGCACTAGCATACACACGCGTTAAAAGCATACGGTAGCCATAAGAAGTGCCAACACAAACAGTCTGACATTAGAAATGCAGTTCATCATCGACGGTAGCAGAAGTCGCCAACAGATCAGCAGTTGCGCATGCGATCAATATTAATCACATAAGGGCACCACCAATACTGCGGCGACAACCCACGCGCCATTTTCTGAATCTACAGTTCACAACACCACGTTGGTCACAGTCGAAAAAAATTCCAAATGAAATCCGCAGCTCACAGGGTCGTACCATGCACTCAACTCAGTTGCTGGCGTGATGAAACTGTATCCTTCCAGTCGACAAATGCGGATACACTGGGGTATTTAACTAGCGAGCCGCGGGCCAAATTTAAATATAATAAATCCATCAGGTGAAACGACCCTTAGACACTGTCTCCTCATGAGTACCTGATTGTCTTCATAAAAAAACATGGAAATAGATTTATCAACAGTGGGAAGAAAACTGTGGGCACCGAATTCAGCGTAAATACTTCATCAACAAACACCTAAATAGATTGATCAATGGTGTAAACAAATCTGTAGGCACCGAATTCAGCATGGGGTACAACATCAACTAACATCTAAATAGATAGATCAACGGTGTAAACAAATCTGTAGGCACCGAATTCAGCATGGGGTACAACATCAACAAACATCTATATAGATTGATCAACTGTGTTAACAAATCTGTAGGCGCCGAATTCAGCATGGGGTACACCATCAACAAACATTTAAATAGATAGATCAACGGTGTGAACAAATCTGTAGGCACCGAATTCAGCATGGTGTACAACATCAACAAACATTTAAATAGATAGATCAACGGTGTAAACAAATCTGTAGGCACCGAATTCAGCATGGGGTACAACATCAACAAACATCTAAATAGATAGATCAACGGTGTAAACAAATCTGTAGACACCGAATTCAGCATGGGGTACAACATCAACAAACATCTAAATAGATAGATCAACGGTGAAAACAAATCTGTAGACACCGAATTCAGCATGGAGTACAACATCAACAAACATCTAAATAGATAGATCAACGGTGTAAACAAATCTGTAGACACCGAATTCAGCATGGGGTACAACATCAACAAACATCTAAATAGATAGATCAACGGTGTGAACAAAACTGTAGGCACCGAATTCAGTATGAGAACTTCATTAACAAACATCTAAATAGGTAGATCAACGGTGTAAACAAATCTGTAGACACCGAATTCAGCATGGGTACAACATCAACAAACATCTAAATAGATAGATCAACGGTGTGAACAAAACTGTAGACACCGAATTGAGCACGAGTACTTCATAAACAAACATTTAAATAGATAGATCAACGGTGTAAACAATCTTTAGACACCGAATTCAGTTTGACTACTCAGTTGAGCAGATTCTCCAAATTTGCATTAACTGTTCTTCGATTTCCTGTTTTTAAAAAAAGCACGACACATTACTGGCACATTTTAGTGTCACGTGTTCTGTTATCAATGTGAGCCATCAATGCGTATCTGTGAACAGCTAGAGAAAATAATCATTATCTTTACCATTACCATCACCACCATCATCATATGGACCTGTTCATCCTAGCATTCGATGTTTTTGGTCCAGTTTAAACCATTGTCTTCCTCTTCACATTTAGAGGGTAGTAAATGCTGTTAACAATTTTGTTAACAATGATAACCAGAACTAGATAACCAGTTCATTAATACTGGAGCTGTACCAAACATTCGCTTCGTATTCGCTTCGGAATCTAATAGTGAACCTAATAACTATTCGGTATTCGGCCGAATACTTGAGGTCGGGCCGAATACGAATAGTGGTTACCTTACACCCACTTCTGCATACACGGCCTTAATGCTGGCAACATGGAACGATTGGTTTTGCTGAAAGCTAATGCAGCTTTCTTGCATTAACTAAGCTGTCAGTGACAATTTTAAAGTTTAGTTACTTGTTATAACACTTAGGATTATTTCATTCCTAGTTATTAGTTACCACAGACTGACTGAAGGATGCAAAACATAAAATGTTTTTAAATATTTACTATTCTGAACGAATATTCCCCCGTGTGGGTTCCGGGGCCCCATTGTGGGGAAAACAAGAATAGACCCATTGCTTCCTCAAAAGCATGTCGTAGGAGTCGACTAATTGGGGAGCTTCCTTTGAAGTCGGAGTGCATCTGCCGGAGAGGCAGTCTGTATTCAAGAGAATGAGATCTGTAAAACTGATGCATTCGCAACACTCCGGTTCTGGAGCAGGACTGCAGTTCAGTAGTGGACGGGCAACCAGAACCTTCCGCCAGAGTTTACAGCTAGTGAACGCGAAGAAGAAGAAGAAGAAGAAGAAGAAGAAGAAGAAGAAGAAGAAGAAGAAGAAGAAGAAGAAGAAGAAGAAGAAGAAGAAGAAGAAGAAGAAGAAGAAGAAGAAGAAGAAGAAGAAGAAGAAGAAGAAGAAGAAGAAGAAGAAGAAAAAGAAAAAGAAAAAGAAAAAGAAAAAGAAGAAGAAGAAGAAGAAGAAGAAGAAGAAGAAGAAGAAGAAGAAGAAGAAGAAGAAGAAGAAGAAGAAGAAGAAGAAGAAGAAGAAGAAGAAGAAGAAGAAGAAGAAGAAGAAGAAGAAGAAGAAGAAGAAGAACGAATATTAACTAGACAGGGAAAGAATATAAGCTACGGCCAGATACAAGTCGAAAATATGAAAATCAAACGAACGGAAACATTTAACTACTTGGGCGCAAACTTTAACTGCTCCAGCATGCTGGGAGAAGAAATACAATCTAGAATGCAATCTGGAAATAAAGTATACTATACCCTTCAACATCTGCTAAGTCAAAGTGTCTGTCTCGCAACACCAAGATCGAAATATATAAGACGTTTATAATACCAATCGTTTTAAATGGCTCTTAAACTTGGAGCACAACTAAAAGAGATGAAGCCTTAGTACACGTTTTCGAGAACAGTCTTACGACGAATCTTTGGACCCATTAAAGATGCAAACAGCGGGGAATGGAGAGTGAGATGCCAAACAAAAATGTTCATTATCTGTTTAGATCACCACTGATCACTGGCATCATGAGAGCTAAAGACTGAAATGGTTAGGACACATTGAAATAATGTCAGGTGACAGAGAATTAAAAACTGTATAGACAAGAGAGCTTAATGGTTGTAGAACACAAGGCAGACCAAAAAGACGATGGAGAGATAATGTCTAGTCAGACCTACAAACAATTGGTGTCACCATCTGGAAAGAGAAGGTCAACCATAAAGATGAATGGAGGCGAGTGATATCTGCAGCAATGAACCTCAAGGGTTTGGAATGCTGATGAAGAAGAAGACGAATATTTTGTCCTAAATTTTGTGAAGTAAAAGTTCAGCCTACGGTTGACATTATGAATGTTTTTTAGATCAGTTTTATACACTATTCGTATTTGTATTCGTATTCGGCTGAAAAGTTGGTCCCGTTATTCGCATACAGCCGAATGGTGATAATCATCTGTTCTGTACATCTCTAGTTAATACACTTCAGTACAAGT